TGGGCTCTGGGACCCAACTCCTTGAGAGAGGCTCGACTCTTTTCTACTCTGGAGTTGCTCGCGGTGAGAGACGGCGTGCTGGTGTAGGCACCGTTACTTTTAGCCCCCCAGCTTACCAGTAGTGTGTTGGAGTTCTCCCCACTGAGCGAGAGGGTCGCTTCCCTGCGCCTTCGGGTCAGGGACAGGTGCCTCACTGTTGTTTCGGCCTACGGGCCGAATAACAGTGTAGAATACCCGGCCTTCTTGCAGACACTGGGAGGAGTACTGGACAGTGCTCCTCCCGGGGATTACATCGTCCTGTTGGGGGACTTCAACGCCCACGTGGGCAGCGACAGTGACACCTGGAGGGGCGTGATTGGGAAGAATGGCCTCCCTGATCTAAATCCGAGTGGTGTTTTGTTATTGGACTTCTGTGCTAGTCACGGTTTGTCCATAACGAACACCATGTTCAAGCATAAGGGTGTCCATCAGTGCACTTGGCACCAGGACACCCTAGACCCGTACTCAATGATCGACTTTGTAGTCATGTCATCAGACATCCGGCCGTATGTGTTGGACAATCGGCTGAAGAGAGTGAGCTGTCAACTGATCACCACCTGGTGGTGAGTTGGCTCCACTTACGGAGGGTGAAGCTGGACAGACCTGGCAGACCCAAGCGTATCGTAAGGGTCTGTTGGGAACGTCTGGCGGAATCCCCGGTAAGGGTGGCCTCCACCTCCGGGAGAGCTTTGACCAGGTCCTGAGGGAGGCTGGAGACATAAACCCCGGGGTGCTGGTCCCTCTTTTCAAAAAGGGGGACCGAAGGGTGTCATACAAACAGACCACAGGAGGCAGCAGAGGACCAGCAGCTTCTGTGTACCTGTGAGGTGAAATCACTGATTTTCTCTATGGACTATGGTGGACTTTCTCTATGGTCCATCACCCCCTGTGATGGTCATGTTATGGCCTCACTGACAACACAAAGTTGAACTGACCTGCTCCATGTTCACATCAGCAGATTCACCAGAGGCCACAGCTGCTGCAGGTACAACCAGAACTGTTGTAGGCTGGAACACACACACAAACACACACTGATTTATCTCTCAGAACAATAAAAAAAAAAAAGCAGTTTAAAAAAAGGCCAAAAACTGCTCGGTGGAAAGGCCTTACCTTAAGTAAGAGTACCTTAAGTCTCTGGATGTTGTGGGGCTGTCTTGGTTAACACTTCTCTGCAGCATTGTGTGGCAGTCTGGGACAGTACCTCTGGACTGGCAGACCTGGGTGGTGGTCCCTCTTTTCAAAAATGGGGACAGGAGGGTGTGTTCCAACTATCGGGGGATCATACACCTCAGCCTCACGGCAAAAGTCTATTCCAGAGTACTGGAGAGGAGAATCCGGCGAATAGTTGAACCTCGGATTCAAGAGGAACAATGCGGTTTTCGTCCTGGTCGTGGAACACTGGACCAACTCTATACCCTCCACAGGGTGCTTGAGGGTTCATAGGAGTTTGCCCAACCGGTCCACATGTGTTTTGTGGACTTGGAAAAGGCTTTCGACCCTGTCCCTCATGGTATTCTGTGGGGGGTGCTCAAGGAGTATGGGGTTGGGGGCCCTCTTCTAAGGGCTGTCCAGTCCCTGTACGATCGGAGAAGGAGCTTGGTTCGCATTGCCGGCAGCAAGTCGGAACAGTTCCCTGTGCATGTTGGACTACGGCAGGGCTGCCCTTTGTCACTGGTTCTGTTCATTATTTTTATGGACAGAATTTCTAGGCGCAGCCAGGTGTCGGGTGGGGTCCAGTTCGGTAGCCACCGGATTTCATCTCTGCTTTTTGCGGATGATGTGGTCTTGTTGGCTTCTTCGAACCAGGACCTGCAGCATGCACTGGGGCGGTTTGCAGT